AAATGGTTTAAGAATGACGTTTTCCAATCATTTCGTGCACTTTTTTTGTAAAAATTATTTTGCTGGACTATTTTCACGCAGAAATTATTCTTTTCCTCCCAAATGAAGCCTAAGTAGCCCCATGGCTTCTTGTCTCGAATAAATCTGCTCCATAACAACGATATCATCGCCGTGTTAGATCTTTGTTTCCCATCACTTGCGGCCTCCGGTGTTGCGTTGCTGGGCAATTTTCTTAATTGCACACTTTTCTACGAATCGCCTTTTATGCTAATTTTCATTGCGGAATTTTATTATACTAGTGTTGGAAATGACGTTATTTCCGTTTTTATGCTGTAAACAAACGTAGGCGGAGAGATTGTATTGAGCTGTCCTTTTCCTTTTGAAGGTTCTGATTTCTTTCAGCTGCTTTATAAAAAAAATTATTTCGTATCCTGCAATAAAGGCCTAGTGAGAAACGCTTTAGATGTTTTTTTCTTATATTGTTGCTGGGGATAAAAGGTTCGAGTTTTTGTACCATTTAACTGGAGCAAAATTCCCACTAATTGGGTTGTCGTTCTCGAATAAAGTTGTGATTCTCGAATTTTTCTTGAAGTTTGTTTTTGCTCAAATGATTCCTAATATAAATATAAAAAGGGTTATGTATGTTACTTACAACAAAATGATTGAACAGGTCGAATCATATATGTAAGCCATTTTGAGCAAATTTTTCAAGGTTTTGATGCAAGACTTCTAACTTTATTTTTTGGTCGATTTTGTGCCTCTTCTTTTAAGGGTACCATTTTTATATCGTTCGTACAAAATATCGTAATTTTCCTTTTTCATGTTTTGGTGCTCTTCAGGATAACTTGAGACTTGTATTAGAAAATCACCTATATTACCAACAACGTAAGAGTATTGAGTAGATTGAGTTTCATTGAGCATTTTGAGGGTTTTTTAGGATTTGTGGTCCGAGAATTATTTTTCCATCTAATAGATTGATCAAACCGCTATTTTTTAATATTCTAGCTTTTTTGAAGCTCTTGTATAAATAAGATCCGTCTTATTTCCTGCCAAAGATCCCCCTATGCTGACTGTCTTGTTTACCAATTGTAAAATCAGAAATCAAGCCCTTGATCTATTTTTAGCTCCCAGACAAAGCCCAAACATCTCCTTAATTTTGGCGCAAAATAACCTGACCATAATTATAATCTGCCCCAGTCATCTTGTAACATCTCTAGCTGATGTTTACCCCCTATGAATTGAAGCAAATGACTCAAACGAGCCAGGTATGAGTCAATCCACCCTCATCTCTCAGCGAGGATTTTGCCCCTCTAATCCCTAGACGGGAATCTTAGCAAAGGAAGACTTAGAATAAGTAGTCTTGGGAGCTTGATTAAGCTTCCGCATCTGGGATTCCTTGTTCTCTGGCTCTGTATCATCAACTTTGTTATGAGAGACCAGCTCCCCAGTGTAGCAACAAATTTATTTTATTATGGTATTTTCTAAAAAAGTAGAAATAGTAGCTCATAAAAAAGTTTTCTTAAACATAAACCACTTGGAATTTCCCACGCCCTTTGAATTGACTACGCTTTTAATGCTTTTGAATCTTTCTTTTTTTTTCTTTTTTTGAAGCTTTTTGAGTTTTATCACCAAAAACACTATTGATAACAGTAGTGAAAATATGATTACAAATATAGCTTTTTTTACATAAAGAAAAACCTCGCAACTTTCAATCATTTTACACTAATTTTTCTTTTGGCTGCCGTCTCTTCCTTCTTTGTTTTTCTCCGAGTTTCGAAACTCATCCTAGACCTTTAAAGAGAACAGAGAAAAAGTATGATCATGAGAAAAAAAATTCTTTTGAAGATGAAACCTCGAGTTTCTCATCATTCCCTAGAATGATTAAGCTTTCTTTTTGAATCTTTTTTCTTTTTTTGAAATCAAAAAATCCATTTTTCTTGGAAAAGAACATCAGGAAAGTATCATTATAAAATCTTTTTTTCAAAAAACCGAATTTGCATAATTGCGATTGGCTGAGTCTTTAATGCTTTTAACTCTTTTTTCTTCTTTTTCTCCCAACCCTTGATTTTCTTTGAAATTTCAGCAAGGAAAAACTGGAAAATATGAATACGAAAAAAGCTTTATTCCCATCATAAAAACCCGCATTCTTTTCACCCCCTTAAAATGGCTTTGACTCTTCTTTCGCAATTTTTTTGCTTTGCGCATAATAATGCCAATGCCAATGCGTCTTTGCTTTCGTGCTTGCCTTTTAACTTTTTTCTATGATATTCTTATCCAATGTGAAACTGGATATTGGCTTCATCAAAATGCCTATCGCAACTTCATGTCTTTGCCATAATTTCTCTTCATTTTCAAGGCTAGAGGAGCTTTGAGCAGTGCTTTGTGCAAGAAGTTACATGTATCATATGTATTTTGTTTGATATCAAACCTTTTTCTCAAGACTCGAATTCAGTTTTGTACGTAACCGCACAAAGCAATACCTACACCATACCTACATATCAGAAATTTGGCGGTTTGCCAGTTTTTATTTGGTTTATTTCTTTCAAAGCTTTGAAGTATTCTCAAAGTTTGTATCACTCAATTCCTTCATAAAAAGGAAATCTTCAAATTTCTATAATGTTCTACAAACTTCGGGGAATTTTTTTCGTAAATTTTTGGCTTTTTTTGGACTTCAAGTTTTTTCAATTTTAATCCACTTGGAATAAATATAATATTGTCACTAAACCAATATCTAATATATAAAGAATCGTTAGCTCAGTTCAAAATTAAGCAAATAGCGGAAAACCGCGTGATGGTCCCAAAGCGAACGCTCCAATTTAGCACCTTTAGATTACTGGTTCACTAGTTTCTACTAAATTTTATATCAGAAGAGTAGCTACAAACCTTTATAGAATCTATAGATTACCAGGAATTTTTCACCACAACTTTTTGATTTTTTGGATTCCAAAATTTTCCTAACTCTGCATAGAAAATATTTTCGAAGTGGTTATTATTAGATGGACATCAGAGAACGACTTTACCAGTTTTTTTATAGAGTTTCACCAATTTTTGAGAGTTTTTTAATACATATCTATAACTTTTTACAATGTTTCAAGCTTTTCATTAATTGCAGTAAGCCTTGAAAAATTAAAAGAGCAGGAATTCTGGCTTGCAAATGGTGATTATCTACATGCAGAAAAATTTGTAAATTTTTGAATTTGAAGTTTAATCGTTTGAAATCAACTGCATCTGAAATTAGAAACAGTGTTCTTTGTTGTTTGTTATTGTGTTTACGCACTTAAACACTATTATTCTATTCGAGGCAACAATTACTAATTACTCTTTGTACTTGTATATCCACAAATAAACCCTATCTTTAGTATTTGCTTGTCGAATCCAGTGATGTGTGAACATTTTCACACAAAATATATTAAAGTTTTGTGTGAAAATGTTCAATCTCTCGGCTTTTGATCGTTCATGGGGGCTCGCCGCTCTCATATTGCACTTTCCAGCTGTGTATGAGTGAGCTATTTTGGCTGTGATCGTTGTGAAAGTGTTGTACAAGCAGCATTCATCATCATAAAGCGGCTGGGAGTAAATCCCATAAGCTCTTGTTTTGCACATTGGAACTTTGAACATCTTGGACTCTTGTAGGCTTCATCAATTTTTTCTGTCTGTGTTTTGTCTACTTAGTGCTTCTGCTTCATTTGCTGAAAATCTGCTTTGTTCTACCATAAAAATTATCAACAGAAACACTATCGCACTGAATTTCTTCTTAGACAATTATTGCAAGCACCCGCGGTTTCTAACACCGCCCTTTGGCAGTACGCGGACCTTAAATTCTTAAATTGACCATCCGCGGCCCTAGATTTATCTTTTTGGTAACCCGCGGCTCAATGTTATCGCGAGGGAAAGGCTGTGGGTCCTAAGTGTTTTATCTGAACACCGCGGCTCAAGAAAAAACGCTAAAGCGAGCCCCGACCCTTACAGGACGCCTTACATTTCTTTAGTTTTCGGGCTAGTCCGGCCCCTTAGGCCATGGTCCGAAAAAGTTGCAATTCTTACACGTCCTGAGCGGAAATGTTATTTGTGTGAGATACGCCGCGGTGATAGTGCTACTCTTACGTTTGCATTTTGGGTTAGAAGTCAAATAAAGTTAGGAATGTGTGCCTCCACACTCAGCTCAAAAGAATTCCGCAACCGTCCCGCTTGGTCACGAAGTAACATACGCACATAAAGACCCATTATATATATCCACCGCATTTTTTTCTCTGGCATGAGTCGAGAAAAAAATTAAAATATTCGGCTGTAAAGAAATTTTCGCAAAAATTGGACCATCTTTGTTTCTTGTATATGTTCATTATAACCAATCTTGAATCATCGATGTATTACACCATGTGTACTAACAGTCTTTCACGTCCGGAAAAAATCACGGACGTTCTTCTTCCAGAAATTTCTGGCCTCGCTAACCTCCACCAACTGCACATGTGTGTTTTGATATGTGCCTACTACATCGTAGAGGCTTGCAAGATTTTTGGCGGGGATCCAATTTTTGGGGGTGATTGAATATTTTCTGTTCAACAAACTTGAGATAGGTCACAATTTCTAAGAGCTTCTTCCTGTTGTATTTACGATATTCGCACAGCGGCTGTCACAAAAGAAACATTATTTTTTCCATCAATCTAATACTTCGATTATGTTATCTTATTATACCTTCAGAAAGTGTTTTTCAATTTTTCTGGGATTATAACCAGCTGCCTTCAGCTCCTAAGCTCGCTGACCCTCAAAAATTAAAATTTTACTTTCAAGGGTTATAAGATTCATAGTGTTCATTCTTCCTTCATAAGGAAAACAACCTGCCATCTTCATTTTCCAAAATTTACTCAGTCTCCAAAATCCCATGATTGCTAGTTTTATAGCTATCAAGCTTCTCTCAGCTATCACTTCATGCTGCCGATGAATCAGTTACAAAATCCATACTTCCTCCAATCACATTTTAAATTTATTCTCATTCTTTCTAGGCTCGCAATGGACGCACCGCGCGTCCCTTGGAACTATACGCTGCCTAACGGGAACGTTGCCGTAACGATGGATGTAAGTCCTATCATACTTCCTGGTATTATTCGTCCATTTGTCGTACTTACTGTATCATTCAAACCCGTACATTGGTACTTGAAGGGAAAAAAATTAATTTTATAGCAAGTTCTCAGTGTCAATTTAATGAAACGTCAAGTCATCACAGAGGTACAAAAGCTGTTTTCTAGGCAGTACACCCTGATATCATTAGCCACGCATCCGAAAAAATTTTGAGGGTGTTTTTTAAATTTTTTTGGCTTAAGACCTCTAAAATCTAGAAAAAGGAAGCGTGGCTTCAGCCACGCCCCGAAAAATTTTTTTACAGGGCTAATTTGAATTTTTAAAAAATTTAAAAAATTATTTAATTATTTACAAAAATAAGGAAGTTATTGCACATTTTTACAACCTATGTAGGTAAGTTTCAAACCGCCTCCCGCCTCCCTCGGTCTGCCACTGGTCTGTACCAAGACCAACCAAGAACACGTTTATATTTGATGTATATTGTGTTTGTTGCCCTGAAGGTGGGCCATGGTAAAGTTGCGAACAATCAACCTAAAGGCTCCGTCCTTCCCAAGTTAGGGGTCTTAAGCTTTTGACAGCTGGCGATAGTAAAACTCCCCATCGAGCCAAGGCCCAAGTCGCGGCGCTAGATGTTGCCACGGAAGCGAGAAAATCGCTCCGGAATAGCGAAGAAGGCCAAGTCGCCACTGCTTTCTCCAGTAATGCCCGTCCATCCAGAGTTCTTAGAACCAGCCTGCGGGAACAAAGATTGTCGGAGATTTTGCGGATTTTCGACCTCATATTCGGGCTGAGGGAGGACATGAGAAGGCCCCGAAACGACCAAAATATGGAAGTCGAGAATCTTGGTGGACGATGCCTTCAAGGTCATGGAAGTTATTTTGGAACTGAACTGAAAAAAGCTGAAGATGTTTCCATCGTTGTTTGAAACAATATAAATAGAAACTTCAAATTCAGAGGATAATGCCAAAGGAGGAGGAGGAGGGGGAGAGGGGGGGGGGGGTTGAAGGCAGTGTCCAGGCAAATGTGCGCATGGGTTTTTTCCCTGAAATCTGATGAGGGGGTCCTAACTAAGGGATTGCCCAAACGCCAGCGCAAATGATTAATTCGCGGCTGAGAAACTCATCCCCAAACAGTCCGCGCCTGCGCCGCAAAAGTACCTCGCAGCCGTGAATGAATCATTTGCGCTGCCGCTTGGGCAGTGCGTTAGCTAGGATCCCCTTATCCGTTTCCAGGTGAAAGCCGCATGCGCCCAGATTTGCCTGGACACTGCCTCTAAGACCATACGTGTGTGTGTGTATGTATGTATGTACCATTTGGATCAACTGGCTTGGCTTCGAGAAGGCGGGCTTTGTGACATAATTAAGGCTAGCTAGTGATCGGAGAGCACCCGTGCGAGAAAGACGCATTTACGTCGCGGGCGCGAACGGCTCCAATTACGTCACAAAGCTCCGCCTTCCCAAAACCAAGCCAGTTGAGTCAAAGGTTATGTACCATTTGATTCAACTGGCTTGGCATCGGCAAAGGCGGGGCTTCGTGACCTAATTAAGGCTAGGTAATGATCAGAGAGCACGCGCGAGAGAGACGCAGGTGCGTCGCGGTTGCGAGCGGCCTCATTAGATCGCAAAACCCCGTCCTAATGGTGCCAAGCCAGTTGAATCACATGTTATGTGTGCATTCTCATGTCCCAGTGATACGAGATATAAATGAATCGAAAGAAGTAATCTAGGCTAACATCTCAAAATAATGTGTTAGATCGTTATTCTGCGTTGATGTTCGTCATGTTTCGACTACTACAGAATGCACTTTTGAGTTACGTGTCATATTTTATCGACGGCTTGGTGCCAATCCGCATGCATTCAAATCTCTATCTGTTATTTGGATAATGGAGGGATTTACATCTGTAAAGCTTATATGAAAATGCACTGCACAGGTCACAAAGATCATGTGTTTATGATGTGTAAAGCTTCGAATTTACTTAACGTTGACCATGCAAAAGGTTGTGAAGAAGGATAAATTCGCATCTTTAACACCCAGTACACTTGGGTCCGAATCGAATAGAAATTCGATCATTCGAATAAAGCATTCGAATATTTCGTATTCGAAATTCGATATTCGGAGATCTTCCATTTTCGAATAACATTCGAAACTTGAATAATTGAGAAAACGGGGTTTCGAATAAAATTCGAACCTCGAATAATCAAAAACCGGGTTTTCGAGTAGATTTTATTCGAATGCTTTATCCAAATGTTTATTCAAATTCGTATTCGAATGACTCCATATTCAGATTATTTAACTTTGTTGCAGAGCCAGCTGCTGAGTATCAAGCTCACTTCGTCCGCGTTGTCTTTTTTTTTCTCGAAACTCGGTAATGCATCTTTTGCAACTTATGACCTTTGAATTGTATGAAGAGTCGCATTCTTCCGACTGCTCAGACAATCGCCGGGGGCAGGTAGTCCGCAAACTCTCGCTTTCTTGCAGGCGGTCAGCAGAATTTTGGGGCGTGGCCGAACCTTCAGCAAGCGGCACTTCCTTTGCTGTCGCATGTTCTGCCAGCGGGCAGCAGTACAGAATTTCCTGCATGCGCTCGGCAAATAATTTCTTCCAGCAAGCGCTGGCCAAATTTTCAGCGAGCGCTCGGACTCTTTCAACGCAGTTTTGTGCATACACCGAGCAGAGAGAAGACTATGTGGCAGAGGTGCTATCGATGGTTGATTACCCGAGTTTGGGGTACTTTCTCTCAGCGAAAGGTACCTACGGGCTGTGCGGTTCAAAAAGGACCGTGCAGCCCCCAACAAATTTGCATATTCTCGCGGAAAGTCGCGATAAGGCGGCCACTGCGCCGCGACTAATCTATGAAAAAAGCGCAATTGTTCTCCGAGTTTTCGTCCAAAAATCGCCAACATTCCTCCAAATATCGCAAGCGGAGCGCAAGAAATCAGCGAACTATTTTTTCGGTGCCCGCTTGCCAATAAATCGTATGGCCGCCTGCCCCCGGCGATTATCTGAGTGCTTGCGACAGTAAAAAAATCATATATGGATTTTAGTTGATGCTTTTTCGATCAATGAGATTGTTCGCACTGCTATTGGCACCAAATCAGCAAACAAATCAAATTCAAGCGCATGTTCCAAGTTCATATACTGGAAGTGTGGTGAAATGCCGGTTTCTCTTCCTTTGCATTGCTCATGCTCTCAGATAATCGTCGGGGGCAGAGGCCATGCGAATTTTGAGCAAGCGGGCACCGGAAAAATAGTTCGCTTTGTTGCGGTCCGCTTGCAGAATTGGAGTAATTTTGGCCAAATTTAGACGAGCGCTCGGAGCATCGCGGTTTTCCTATGGATAAGTTGCGGCCTAGTAGCCGCATTCTCGCGGATTTTTCACGAGAACATGCAAAATTGTAGGGGGCCGCATGGTACTTTGTGAAGGACCGCACTGCCCAGGGTACCTACCGCTGGAAGAAGGAACCTCAAATTCGGGTAATTAAACCATCGATGACACCTCTGCTACATAGAGTCTTATCTCTGCTCGGCGTATGCACAAAACTGCGTTAAAAGAGTCCGAGCGCTTGCTGAAAGTTTGGCCAGCTCGCAGAAAGAAATTATTTGCTGAGCGCTTGCAAAATTGATGTATTGCTGCCTTCTAGCAGAATATGCGACCGCAAAGGAAGTGCTGCCCTTCGAAGGTTTGGCCACGCCCCAAAATTCTGATGACCGCCTGCAGAAAAGCGCGAGTTTACGGACCGTCTGCCTCCGGCGATTATCTGAGAGGGTGCTGACTATGAATGGATCGGCTCTAGCCAGATATGTCAGCAAATTTGTGATATGATTGCTCTAATTATTCGATAAATCATTCGAATATTTATTCGAAATTCGACTTCCAAAGTTCGAAATTCGATATTCATTCACTCGACATTTTTGATTTTCCGAATTTATTCGAAATTCATTCATTCGAGAATTTTTGAACCTCGAATTTATTCGATATTCGTTTGTTCGAGATTTTTTATTTTCGATTTTAGTCGATACTCGTTTATTCGAATTTTTTTTCGAATTTATTCGATATTCATTCATTCGACGAAAAATTTTCGAATTACCCAAGTATAACAACCAGTCAAGGCCTGTGCGCATTTCGCAGTCAAGGCTACTGAACCTTGTAAAATGCGATCGATTGCGGGGTCAGACGGTCACCAGGGTGTTTTGATTCTCCTAAATCATGGTAGAATTAGTTGTTTCTGGTGTAATAGGATTATGGGCTGACTAGAGGCAGAATTGGCGCTTGATCCATTGTTCGTTCCGCCCATACCGCTACGCTGCTATCTTCCACGGTCTCAATTTGTAGATGTAAAATAGTGCAAAGATAAGCTTGCATGTTCTGAGGAAAATCTAACTGGCATACTTGGCTTCTCCTGGCTCTGTCAATACACTATGATAAATATCGCCAAGCCCCAGTTTTATAGGAAATTTCTTTGCCTCAGCCCACTTCTATATGCAGGTTACCTATCCCACTATGCTTTCGTGATCACCATTCTCGCTTACCCTCTGTGACTATCAGTTTTGTAGCTAACAGTATGCAAAAAATCGGTAATTGATAGTTCTGAAGACTGATACTGTATCGTAATCAGCACTCACTTACCCTCTGTGCCAACACCGAGCTCAAGCTAAAAGTTGGTAAAATCGATATCGATCCCAAATGAAAAAAAATCTATGGCACTTTCTCCGCCTCAAAGCCTACCCTTTTCAACGGCATTGGCGCTGAAAGACAGGTTCGAGGCTTGATCAAGGTTAGGGCCTGATCACAGAGCACGCCCGCATAGAGACGCAGATCGTCGGTTCGAGCGTCGCCTTCCAGCCGCCAGTCCTGTTAAGTCAAAAGGTATGTGTGCAAAGCCTATTCGGATAGGTTCAGAAATGGTATTTTCTATTCGAGTCTTACATAAGCACATGCATGCGCACACAGATATAGACATTCAGCTTTATACATAAGACGCTTTAAACCCGAGACAAGATCATTTGGGTAGAGGATATGTCGTCTATGGCCCCATCCGCGCAGGCAACGAGGAAACAAAGCCTCCTATAACCCAAAACTTTAGTAGGACATTGTTTTTTTTTTGTAGACAAGTTTCTTACGACTTAGAGTCCATTGTCATTTGCAACCTGCACTAAAATTCCTCCACCTAGATATATCCGAGTAATCTTATATTCAGTAGTAAAAGTACGCACAAATCAAGATTTATTCCACATGTTAACACGCATTTTTTCAGGTGTGCTTTCAAATGTTGCGGGATCAGGGTATCCCGCCTGTTCCCGAGCCCAGTGGGTGTTTCCTTGCTTGTTCAATTATCCTGCATATTTTTACAAAAAATCTTTGTTGATTTAGCTGATGGCAGCTTATGGTGCAATGCCACTTATGACACAGTATTATGCTGGCCGCCAACGCCGGCAAACACGAGCATTGTGTTGCCATGCCCACCCCTTAAAGGACTGGATCCGACACGTAAGTGATATTGTAAGAATTGTAACGGGAGCAAAAATTGTTCTTGCTAAAAACAATGGAGAAAAAATTTTATGTTGTCCTATGTTGTTTCCGTTTTTTGCGTCAAGTATTATCGTTTATATGTTTTTTTTTTGATTTTTGGTTTTAGTGCTATGGGTTAGTTAGTAGTAGTTTTTGTGTTAACTTTAGTAGTAGCTGCAGTATCCTTTAGGGAATAAACTTATTATCTTTTGTCATGTCCTGGAAAGTAAAGTAGAAGTAGTTATATCTTTATTTTCACCAAACATTTCTCCTGCATCAGCCAATGAGAGGAGAAGCTGGCACCTTGTTGACGCATTTTGAGTTTTTGAAGAACTTGAAAGTACTGTTTTAGAAAATGTACCCTAATTTCACGCATATAAGGCGCGGAAGATTTCTTTCCAAAATCGACCAGCCCAGACACCCCAAAGGACTTTACACCCAAAGGACCTTATAACGTGCTGTATATTGCTTGAGAAAATCGCGAGATGTAAAGATTTCTTTCCGGGATGCAGTGAACCGGTTGAGAGCTGCTCGCTCTAAAATTCGAAAAAGTGCGCCTTATACGCGTGAAATTAGGGTAATAAAGTCGTTATTACATCTCATTGGATCTTTGAACAATACTTTGCAACACATGCTCCGAAATAATATATTTTTGTATTCTACAACAGCTTGAGTAGAACATTTCTGCTGAGTAAAGACTACTCATGGTACTCATTTTGCACTTATGATGTTCTTTCGGGATTATGGTACGCGTAAGGTAGGCTTTGGACCACACTTTGTCCACGGTTTTTTAGTTTTGCTAAAAGCGTCATTTGGTTGCTGGTTCCGAATCACATCCTTGGCGTGCTGCAGGGCGGTTGTACAAGGCTGTGCGAGGTGTGCGGTGAAAATCCTGCTCAGATTATCGACAAGTATTAGGGTGTCCTATAATTTTTTACCGTTTTTACTACAACCCTCGTCTTTTTGTATCCTTCCTGCAACTGATGTGGCTTGAGTAGTCATTCGACAGGGGACACATCGAACATTCAAGTGTACACTTTCCAAATTTTTTCCATGTCTAGAATTAAACAAAAAATGAATGGAGTAAAGTGACAAATTCTGCCCTTAGCCGTCCCTCTCAAGCACGTGATCATATAGCTCATACTCTTCAAAAATGTTGATGTTTAGGTAAAAACGATAAAAAATTATGGGACACTCTAATACTTCTGCTTTTCAAAGTCACGCAACAGCTATCTCTTATTGCATATCTCTTTAATCATATAGTAATTACGTTTGCCGACAGCTAGCCAACCTTACCGAATGACACATCATGTAAAATGAGTATCATGCTTACGAACGCTTCCACCGGCTTCTTGAACGTCAGAAGATCAAAAGATCTCTAGTTTCGGAGTGTGTGTTGTAAAGTTACAATTTCTGTTCTTGAATCTTGACATTTTATCTTATACTCTTGCTCGACATATTGCTTCGCATGTTTTGCTGTTGTAATAAAAAGGGAAGATTCAGCTATGATATAGTACTATATTGCGTGCTTTTGTTTTCTAACCCACTTTTAGTATTTTATTATCCGTGTGATGCGTTCTACCTCTTCAACCATTTTCCTGGAAAGAGGCAGAATGTTTGCACATGCCGTTGTTTCCAGTATATTTTCGATAGTGGTTTCAGGTCAAGTAGAAAAGTCATGCGACCGATTTGGTCGTTGGGCCGGAAAACACGAAGGTGTATACGAGAATCCGTGGGGTTGGACGAATTTCACCGGATGCTTTAGAATGGACTTCGAAAACGTGAAAGTACGCAAATGACACTACTACCATGCTTACTTTTACGCCTTTAACACAAAATATCTACGCTCTGCTTTCGTTGCTGCTCTATATTACCGAGATGCTGCCCCTCAGCCCCATCACCCTCGCTTCCTAGGCTCATCCATCGGTCACATACTGCACCCAATCAAGCACCAACACCTAGCACACTCACATGTTGCTCGCCGCATGGCTTTGCTTGTTGCCCCTTGCTTGTTCTCGCATGCTGCTTTTACTTTGTTCTAGCTAATTATCCGTTTACTCTTCTCTATCTGTAACGTTTTTACGTCATGTGCCTCCGTCAAAAGGTGTCTAACCGAAATACTGTTGCGTTTTCTTATACCATCAAAGTCTCAAGCATTTTGGCATTAACACATCCGCTGGAGGTTTTTTTGGTTGTTGGAATTAGAATGAGTGATTGGAAACTGAAACATTCAATAAGTAGATTTTGAGCTAGATTATATCAATGGCTCCGTAGTATGAATGATTATTCAAACGGTGTGGAAGACAGCTCTATGGCTGCAATGTAGTAGACTTACTAAATTGGCTCGAAAGTTCTCGATATTACATTTAGACAAAGGGTTTCGATGCACTGTTATATGCACAGCCTGCCCCAAACAGTTCACTGATTGAGGCAGTGTGCACGTTGTTGGATAGAGGAAAGCAATCTTTACAAATTCATGGCAAGCACGAACATCATCAATGTTTTCTTAAAAATTCGGGCAAAAACTCCAAAGCATAGGATTTTAACCTAACCCGGATCTCCAAGTTCTATGAACTTTATTACATGCTCAATTTTATAGTTTACACATACTCACATACTTTCATGCATAGCTTGCGTGGAATCTGAGTTTGAATAATAACAAAAATGAGGTAATCGTTAGGTTCCAGGCTCCTTCCTCTTGTTCTCGTCTTCTCTTGCTCAAATGCCAGCAACATGCTAGAAAGAGTACACTGCAAATTTTAGGGATGTACATGCATTAGGTTTTGGAAAATAGCAGATTTGATCTGGAAATGTCCGAAAACTTTCTGAGCCAACCCAACAGTTTATAGGGGCTTTCTTGACCGCTGCATCATGATTTCAGGGTTTAATTCTACCGAGTTAGCGCCAATAATATCTCATGAAACAGCCGCTTCACTTTCACATCTTTTGTAATATTGTAGGAGACTATGAGCTGACCAACCACAAACCGGACAGGAATTACACAAAATACAGGTCGTCCCGAAAGTTATTCCCGTTTTTTCGACTTGTCATGGAACACGCGGAATATAGATGGGCAACAAATTCAAAGACTATTCGGCGCCATTTCTTTTCATCTTAACAGTCATGCTTCCATAGCATTTCCTTTCGTAGTCATCAAACTAATCGCCGAAATTGCGAACCCATGTTTTGCCACACCCAAGTCTGGCAATTCAAAATTTTTTGGATTCTCTCGTCTGGGAGACTTGTGATAGCAAATGGATAGAGAATGAAGTGCAGTACAACAAATTTTTTTGGGCTTCTCTGAGTAGCTTTTCACTATATGCCAAGATGATTTTTCCTAAAGGCTTCATTTATGCAAAGTCTAACGATATCCTATCATCAAACGCTGAACTCTCCAGAGCCTAATTGTGTCAAAACTCTGTTGTCATTCAACGCTAGTTTTATAAACAAGTGAGCTTTCACCGCTTCGAGATAGAATTCTGAAATTTGGGATATAGCAGTAGGCGCGGCCAAAGACTCACAATTAAGATGATTTCATCCGCGAAGGTTCCACAAATTGGGAAGGAAAAACGCCTATCAGAAACAGGAGAAAGAAGCTGCATAGAACAATATTCGAGTTGCTTATCGGTTGATGTTTTGTAAGAGTGGCTTGACCAGATGTGGAATTTGTGAAGATCAGAAAAATAATTCTAGTAACTCTGAAAAGCTAGCTGAGGATGGCAGTAAAAATTTATAGTGCTGCCCTCTGTTTGCTCTATCTAGCTGTAATCATAGCTCCCCCGGAATTGTAATGCACAAAAACTGTTGCATTCAACATTCTGTATTTATCCTAGTAATCACAAAGCAAGCAGTCTCAAAAAATTACTGCCTGGAAAGACGAAGAATTGCGTCGAATGTCAAATGTTTGACCATCTTTATACCACGTGTTTTTATGATAGGTCAAAAAACGGAAAGAAGTTTTGGAACAACCTAACAGGAAGGTCTCGCTCCATGCTGGCGCCTTCAGTAAATTTACGATTTTAAACCCAGAGAGTTCGCCAAATGTTTGAGAGCGCTTTATCATCGTCCTAAGTTAAAACTAAAGTCAACGTTTTCGGGGGTCTCAGGTTAAAGCTAAAACCTTTTCGACTAAGCTCTACTGTAAATGCTTCCCAACTCAATTCTCCCTTTGTAGAGGTAAAGAAGCGGCGAGTTTAAATGATAACGAAAAAGGAGCTATAGAACAGTATGTTTTATGCGTCCGCTCTATAGCCGTGCATACATGAACAAAGGGTTTTGTTCTGTCAACTTGAAAATAATCAAATTAGATGTCAAACATCAATATCAACAAACAATTATTCAACAATATAAAATTAGTGTTTCGGACAAAGATCTATTTGTATTAGGCCAGAAACTTCTGCCCTAATGTTTATGGTGTGCAATTTCTTTCACGGCCTTAGCTTTGTTGTAGTTCATGTTCCCTCAAAAACTGAGAAGGAACGCATGGTCCTTAAAAGAATGAGATAACCCCTAGTGGAAATACCACATGATAAAAACAACAATAAGACACCACATCATAATCTTGCTTGCCTGTTAAATTTTATTCAAACTCCAGCGGATTATAAGCTAGCGCCTAACATGGCTTCAACAAAGCTCTTCCAGTTTGCGCTTTGCGTAGCCATACAGAAGGGCTTGTACCATGTATATGCTGATTGCATGTAAGAGATCAGTGGCCAGCTTTAGGAAATATTACGAAGAAATGCCATTGGACCGGAAATTGGCAAGGACGAACCGAGAACGATTTTGCTAGAGATCACGGATGGACGAATTTTACTATGTGCTACACGGATGAAGTCATCTACATTATGAATAATCTCAACAACGAGTCGCTCGGGGTCAGGCACTAGCACATGTGTTATGTCTATTCTTTCTAGATTAAGATGCTTATAACGCTGCCTTCTTGCTAATTCCCAAATCACTATCCAGTATTGGAATTCACGGTGCAAGCACAATTACTGCAGAATCTTAAGTTTTGAGACTCAAGAAACTGCGATTTGTGAAGTTCCTCTCGCATACCACCTTACAGCTTGAAGGCGGCGTTAGCTATGACGGTAAAATATGCAATCACGACGAAATCAGTGACAGTATGGCAGTACGGTATCACCTTGACCGATAGAGGAAAGATCTCTTTGCAAACTCTTAGTGCCAGTTTTTTTTTTGAGATGCGCTCCCATTCGTTACGTAATAACGCATTGCCATCAATCACTCTTATTTCTTTTCTTTTCGCTCACCGCTCTTCTAACTGCTTGCTTAGTTTCGTCTTTCTCTCAATACAACTCATTCACCAAGCTACTTTCGAGTCCCTTTCTTCTTTGACTACCTGATTTATTTTTTAACCTCTTCAATCACTCGCTAATGCAACCCGCATGTATGCTTTTCAAAAGTCGGGGCTGAAATAACAAAGCTTGCGTTTTGCGCTTCATGCTAACATAATAGTCAGCTACGTCGATGTGGTGGTGAAAACGTCGTTTGAGTTCCCTAGTTCCGGTCCTGAAAATTTTGTTTTAAACGACGTTTTCAAGCTATTGAGACATACTGACAATATGACATGGTCGGAGGCATTTTGATCATTTTTAGATTGCTCAAGAAGTGGCGAAAAACGCACGTAAACTCGAATTTGTTGGATTAGGTTTGTCCCTTGTGAGCCTTATTGTGTCAATTGCGATATTTTCCTACTTTCGGTGAGTTTCAGTTCCTTGCATAGCGATGACTCAAATTTGAGGTGCTGTTGCAGGCGGTTGCGGGTTTTTCGCAATATGCTGCATTTACATTTGATGATCGCGATTCTGATGGTGGTCATTATTAGACTCGTGCTGTATATTGACTTGATATTCACTGGAAATCAAAGTCCTCATCAAAGTCCGTCAGACGGAAAAACTATAAACACAATGGTAATTACTGTCAGTTTGTCCGCTCCTACGCTCATCACCTTTTTAAGCCATTCGTATGTGAAGCTATGTATTTCTTGCTGGAGTACTTCAAAACGGTAGCATTTGGTTGGATGTTCCTAGAAGGTTTCTATTTACATAACCAATTGGTGCTCACTGTTTTTAACTCTGAGCCGCGGCTTACGCCATACCTATTGGCTGGATACGGCAAGTTATCGTTTCCAATATCGGTTTTTGACTCGTCGAAGACCGGCTTTTTCAGGTATTCCTGGCGTTCATACGCTGATTTGGCTACTTGTAGTGCTGATAAAAAAAGACTTCAAGGTGAACATATCGAGAAAGTTTTTGAGGACGTTTTGGGAAATCATCTCGTTGCAGGTAGAGCGGTGCCTAGGCTCGTATTATCTGGAACCGGAGTTTTGGATACTTGATGGTCCCCGAATGGCAGAGCTTGTGGTAAGCGTTATAGTTCAAAGAAACAAGAAGGTTGTGTAACGTTAATTTTCAACAAAGTATTCTTCACTTTTACTCTAAGCAAATTGAGGTATAGTTAGGCATTGAGTTGGAAACCCATGACATACCTCTGCGTATATCTAATAATTGGCTTCGATACTAGCCTTTTCAATAAAACTCAAAGAAGGCATTTCAAGAAACATTATTGTTGTCATCAATAAGCTCTAGGCGTTCCACATGAAGAAATGAGAAAATACAATGCAAATCAATATACACTATTTAATAAAAACATCAAACAGATCATCACGCCAGTTGAGTTGGAATCAGTTCTTTAGGCTGGTAAAAGGGTAGTAAGGGACAGCCTGCATGGACGATGGTTATATAAATGTAGGCTTTGACATGAACAAGTGCGGAGAAACAGCACTATGAACTAGATAATATCAATGGAGATGGTCCCCATGCCTCCTCGTTTGCCAGCAAAAACGATCTTAAACTTTTCAAAAAAGCAATTGAAAACTTGGCTGTCGCTGGCAAACAGTATCGCCAGCCATGCCTTAACCACTCTTCTGGGAATGATCCCGTGACTCAATAAAAGAGTATACGGCTCCATGTTGTAAGCAAGGTCAAGCAAGAGATGTGGCACACGATCGCTGGTTACGACCCCCCCCCCTCTTATTGCTGTAATAAGACCCCCTGAACTATTTACCTAGGATAGCATTACTTGAAGGCCCTGTCAAACATAACCGGGCAACATATCCATAATTAACATGCCAATTAACCCTGTAGACAATGTTTGACCGAATTCTGAAGTTTCAAGATACTGTGTCACCTAAGTTAAATCGCCATTTTCAGTATGATTAACTTCGTTTCAGGTGAAGTGGCTAGCTGTTTTTGCACTCAAGACAAAGCACTACTCCTTCTTTGACCAATTCAGAAATCTTGCTTCAAAAAACCTTCCAACCTTGAAATTAGAAGCCAATCAAAATCTTGTTTTTCCTATTTTTCGCTTTTAATGGCTGCCTTAACCAAATATTATTCAGAGCAAAGAAGACGAATCAGACTCAAATCATTCCTATGAAGTCTACGAGGACTAGGCCATCGATTTATATAAATACGTCCGCTAAAAATGTTTTTTATATAGTTAATGGGGTGTGGCACCACCTCTGAAAAGCTGTGGCTTTAGGGTGGTGCCACACCCCATTAACTTAATTCAGACAGATCAAATAGCTGCGTTTTTTATATCGTTGTTACTGCTTAACCCTCTTCTCTACATTGCAGAAATTTCATGCAAAAAGCTTTTTCAGAAACAAAATATGGCCACTTTTCCTCACCTATGCACATGTAAAATATTGGTAAAATATTGCGAAAATATTGGGATGTAAAATACTGGTAACGTGTTAAGTCTGTACTACGTGAATCACAAGGGAAGGCGACAAGAATGTATACATTCGATAGCTAAGCCTCGTAATCTACATTGAAGTGATTTGAGCCTGATTGGTCTTCTCTAGCTTGAGATTTCAAAAACGAAAATTGGAACAAACGAGATTTTGGCTTGCTCTTAATTTCTTAATTTGGAGCTCATCTGAAGTAGGATCCCCAATGTGAGCAAAGAAATAGTAGTTCTTTGTTTTAAGCGCAAAAAGTAGTTAACATACCTTTGAAACTAAGTAACATGTTTGCAAATGACCATGCCACCTAGATGGTCCTGTGTTTGGAAACCTCAGAATTCGCTGAAACTTGAACCATAGGGGTTATTTTACTTGCTAATCAAAACGATGGCCTTATGCTTTATAAAACTTTGATTATGCTTACTGTATGTGTACGATAATGGGTCAAACATCAGTGTGCTCGTATTTTGCTCTGATTTCTCACAAGGGGACGGTCAAAAATCGAAGTGGCCAGTCCAGACAAGCTGCACACCATTAGATGCAGCATGAAGCGCTGACTCGAAATCTGTCTTCCTTATTTGCTTAACGCTTTTCTGGACGAAGCTATAAGCCATTAAAGGCCATTATTTTGCTGAGAAATTATGCGTAAAAATGAAAATTCAGCCATACAGAGCCACAATCGGCTCAATGCTAGGCCAAAATATGCAGCTAACTTAATTTAAATTCTTAAAACCTAAAGCTGAGCTAAAAGTGATGTGTTCAATTTTGCTGTTTTTGTCTACGATTTTTTCACAACAAAACTGCTTGTAGCTTCGTCCACAGAAGCGACAAGCAGATAATGAAAACAGATTCGAAGTCAGCGTTTTATACTGCATCGAATGATATACAACTTGTTTGGTTTGGCCACTTCGACTTCTGACCATTCCCTTGTCAGTACGACCCCGCCCTCCCCCCCCCCCCCAGGTGTGGCATGGCACACCCAACGCTTTACCCTGGTTGTAAGTTTGATTTAGCAAGCTTCACCATAGCTTTGGCTGAGAGAAGTATACTTGACTCGAACTAACATGGTGATAAAATCGGAGCTAGTAAAAACTATCGAGGAAACCACTAACTTTTAGGTCAATCTCTTTTTCATTTGTAATGTGATACGAGTATTGTGGTCAAAAGTTCGCGAGAGTCACAGCACCAGCGAACTTGAAAAAATGAAGTGAGTACTAAATTTCTAGCAGCTGAAATAATTGAATGAAAGCCTCATCAAATTTAGAAAAAGCGTTAAAGCTGCCTTAATGCTTATACCTTTGCTTGGCATACCGAACATCATGCAAACGATACCGTTTGCACCAACAAGGGACAATATTACGGTAATAACTTTTGGTTCTAAGTGTGATTTACTAAATCTTCCCTTCCAGATATTTGCCATATGGACCTATCTTGCCTCGTTTACGTACATGTATCAGGGCCTTATGATTACAATCATTTACTGCTTCACGAATAAAGAGGTATTTGCATTTTTTTTGAAGACTCTCATCTTTCAATCGGAGTTTATTTCTAGGTGAATATGGTTTTGAAAACGTTCTATGATCGGTATAGGCTGCAGCATACAAGCCAACATGAATTGAGAAGAGGCTCACGTTCTATAGCATCTCATTATCAAGCACGAAATGGGCAAATGACTGGGGTATGTATTTTGGGGTGTTTTCTTTCGGCATGTTAAGTTTGTCGAACTTCAGTGCAACAAAATGATCTTTGGAAACTTGTCAAGACTGAAGAATGATTATAGGTGACAATCGCGACAGACAACAACAATTCCACTTTGTCTCCGTACAGTCAACGATCTAAGAAGGGTAGCGGCGATTCAACGACTAAATTGATGTTGAGCGTCCCGGTGCGTATACGTGCTTGTGACATGGTAATATTGATATTATAAAATATTGAATGCATGCATAATAGCATGAGCAATGCCACATCATTTGTCTAACATGTCTGAGTGGTTTTGTTTCTGATTAGGCCACCTTGTTAGGTTTTGTCGTTGCTTTGTTGATCTCGTTTTTATTCAGCAATGCGGTGATGAGATTGTAAATAATAATGGCTACGAAGCTGCTAGTGAACGAACGCCCCTCAAAACGCAATGTGATTGCACAGAAGAGATACGGTGGGCCTGATGTACTAATAATTGAGTTGTGCTGTTATCGCCACCCTCAACATTCCTGAGAATCTTTGTTTTGACCTGTTGCATAACCAAGAGGTCATCATTCACAGCCGCAGTTATGCAGCAATTCAAAGTCTTCCCTTTCTCGCAAATGCTGCATGTGCTTTCATGAGTTTTGCAATTTGCTTAATGGCTTCGTCTTATTGTTCTTTCAAGAATCTCTTATGTATCCATTTTTAGGACAACACCGATGATTAATGGGCAACACGTTGCCTAGCCTTCGAAATCCACTTTTAGATATAATTTCTCATCAGCGCTCGCCAGTTGATATTCATATTCTCTCTGAACAAAGATTCGCTTCAAACTGTAGGTCAAAGTCATCGTTATCTGTTTCGTTTTTTCTCTTGTATATTCATTAACGGTGAAACCGGTACGGGTCATTGATTTCATGGAAATATACATGTTCTGATTATTTTGTTGTTCGCATTGTTCAATAGAGTGGTATAATTTTTCTTCAATCTTTTTGTCCCAGTAGTTTTCTCATGGTCTGCTTGATGACGAATAATCTTGTTGAAGCTCATGCCACATTACAATGCCGCTCATAAAGTGATTATTAATTGGTTTCGCATACTTGACGTCCAAGTCATCTCTTTCATGCTTGCTAAGGGTTGAAGTCAGGTTACGTTTTGTTGACGATTTAGTGTTTACTTTTTTGATTTTTGGTGTATCTAAAATTTTGATTCTAACCGGAATATAATGCTTGTTTTGCAAAATTAAGAAAATCTAACCTGACTTCATACTGATGCATCTGCTGTCTGTATGTTACTGCTGACTTACGATATCTTGAACTAGGCAAAGCTGACTCGTGTTTTGTAGCCCATCGTACTCAAACTAGTCATAATCATGTGCAGACTTCCGACGATTGAAGTTGCTTGATAGTATGTGACTGCTTCAACCTGCGGCATTTTTTACTCGTTATCAAAAACAGAAATAATAAAGAGATTTATGAATTGATGTGAAGTAATCATTCTTTTCTACATCGTACATGTCTAATACGATGAATGCACACGCGACAAAAAGCTGTTTAACATTTGGGTTTCAATCTCGAATAAGCTTCATGTGAAGGAAGATTCGTCTGTAAAATGGTTAACATAGCTTTTCCATGCAAAACATCCAAGATGTCTTGTTTCCAGCAAAATAGTTTGAGATGCTTTGTTTTGTTAAAAGGCTTTCGGTCTTTCTCGTTGTGTCCGCGATTACAACAAATATAAGGGAAAGAACTTTGTTAGGAAGGTTTAAAAATAATTGAACATGACAGAAATACCTGAAAAGGGGCAGAGGTGGACACAAATATATGTTCTCGATTTCATACAGTTAGCCTTATGAATTGGAGAGTGCGATAATATATGACAATGAGGCTTACCTCGATTGCATCAATAGTCAAAATAATGGCAGGAACAGCATTTTGAGTGTGAGTGTCATGTATAGTTCTCAATCTTCTTTTCTGCTTCGATGATACTACTCGAAAAGGAACATGTCGTACGCGTAAGAGAAGCACGTTGTATTTTGTCTTGCGTTAGCTAATTTCATCATCTACTATGGGGCATAGGGCATACAGCTTCAAAGAGACTGCACACTTTCCACCGGTATGTGGGATGATAGAGGGACTGGATAATATTAATGTTGAAGGCAATGCATGGACAAGGTGGAAATTCCAGTGAACCCTTCGGAAAGGCCATCGCATAAGTAGGGGTCATGACGTCAAATCAGAATCAAGATATACGGTTGTAAACTAAGAATTTCACGCCCTGTGGTCGGCCTCTCCTGTTTGAACTCGTGCTCTGCGGCGGAATACGCATGCCAAAGTCGTAGTCTCTCAGCCTTGGCGGGAAGTAATTCCCTTCAAATCTTAAGGCTTTGGAAAACGCATGTTCTCGCCGTTTTCGCGCTCTTTAACGTGGGTTTTCCGATTCAACGTTGCAGATATTAGGTCGTAAAGAAAGTTCCTGGGCACCTGCGGACATTTTTTCATTCGCTGTAACTTCAAGGAGATTGGATCTCTTTTGAAGCTACAAACTTCACTGCAAAGACATTTGTCCACAACGCATTTGTTTTGCTGGCTTCTCGGCACCTGACTGCGGTCCATCAGCACTCGCAGAAGAGAAAAATGTCATCGCGAAAAGTGGATCCGTTTGTTTTCCGGAATCCGTTTGTGCAGGATTATCTCAGGCCCAATGAGATCTGGAGAGCTCAAACTGTAGTAATATAGAAGTCTGCTGGGGCTGTTATGACTATTTAGGCCTTTGAGCGACCACATGCAAAAAAGCTTTTCCAGAAAACTTGAAAAATCGATCATTCTTTGTCCCTAAAAAGGCACCATTTTTCGAGTAAGTGACTTTGAAGTCTTGTCGTTCTGCATAGAGTAGACCAAATCTTTGATTACTGCGAAGCATTTGGGGTAATGCCTTACACATCCTTTGAACCCATCATCCAGGCGTGCCGATCCCCGCAAAAACGACTCCAGCTGCGAAAAGAGCTGCAGTCAGAGGCAAGTTCGACAGCTTGTGATTTCTGAGCGCAAATCGCAAAACTCGATTGCAGTTGCGAATCAGAAGCCAACAGGCTTCTAAATCAAATCACCCGTGGACGAAATTTTTTGAATAGCACAGAAAAATGGCCGTAGGAAAAAATTGTGAAATTTTTGTAGTCGGAAAGATTTTTCTTCTCGATGTGCAGATCAAACACTTCTTGGCATCGAGAAAAATTAGAAGCCGTATTAAAAATTCTAAGCTTCCCTTAACTGAGCAGTGCAAAAAACTTGGTGTCAAATTCCGACCGAGAGCCGAAAAATGTATTTGAAAATGAAGTTTCTCAAAGTGCCCGGGACCTTTTTTTTACAACCTAATAACCCCAGCAAATTGAATTTTCTAGAAATTGAGGTCTTGCCTGGATACTTAGACCTTATAGCAGTCGTCAATATCCAAGATCTGACAGATTGGAGCATGTTCAAGTCTACTTTTGAATAAGAGAGATATAGTGCTATCCATTCAGACTATATAATAGTTTGCACATTAGATCTCTGCTATATCTAATCTACCTCAATCGATCATCGTATAGGGTTGTTTTAGACTGCAACACTGACCGCAGTGACTATACTAACTGCAACTACCGGGCTCCACTTCAGGGTGCACACCGGTCACGGCGGCCGCTTTGTCGCACACGCAGCGCACAAGTTTTGTGCTCCACGAAAACTTTTTGCTGCTAGAGCTTTCGGGGCCAAAACAGAGAGGTGGAATGGGAGATACTTTTGATGCCGTGTACAATACTGCGCAAAAGTTCTGGCTCTCGTGATAATCAATGTCGCCTTAGGGCATCGCCTTGCGTTTCGTGATTTCTGACCGTTCCTCAGCAGCCGTAGATATACAATAAGTTTTCAAAGTCCTTTGCTTTTTTCGACCTATCATAAAACCCGAAGGATAGGCATAAAGTACTATTTGATGGAGTTTGTGCTTATGTCTCTGACCTTATTATTCTTGTTCTAAAAAACGGTCGCCAAAATTTTAAGCCTATGCTTTTTACTATGTCCCACTTCAGCAGTTTCTTAGAATTTTATTTTAGACCTTTAAAAGGGCTTTGATACTCGTGCGACTGAAACATTGTCATGAACTACATCACCTTTCCTGCCACCGGACGCCTTAGATGTTAACGAGCATAGAGTAGTCTTAATAGCCAGCTCATAGCTTTGCACTTTATAGAGATTACCAATTAATGTGTATAAACACTTCATTCTTATCTTACATGCAAAGAACGAAGAAGGGTGCCTCGGGGGGAGTTCATTTGGAATGTGTATAAAACCCTACCAAAATGTCTGAAATGAAATTTCAGGATATTATTGAAGTTGGACATGTCCGAAACGAGAATCGGTTCCTAAACAAGTCACAGTGAGGGTGCAATACATACAGCTAATTTGGTCGGGCTCAGTACGCCAAAAACAGTAAAGCTTAACAGTCATTTAGTGAACATTGTTGTGTCGGAGGGTAATTTATTAATTTTCTTGTTGTGTCGGAGAGTACTTTATTAATTGAGAATTTTCAAAGTTACGAAACCGTGTAAATTAAGCTTTCAAAGAAACATTCTTTGAAAGTTCACTGATTCACTTACCGTCCTAAACTGTGTGTAAGGACGAGTTTTTCTCAAAACTTTTCTGATGTCACATTTGCTTGATTAGGAAAGTTTCGATTATAAAGCATCCATGTTAGTTATGTCAATGTTATGGGGATTATGATGATTGAAAAAATTCGGCGATATCCTATTTCAAAAGCTGTTACAAGTCTTCAAACTCTGTTGAAGAAAAGAAGATAACAAAATAATAGGTGGGTCCGAAAGTTCGTGCCGTTTTTTAGACCTATTCTATAATCATTCAGAATGAAGATAGACAAATACTTGAAATTATCCGATGCAAAATTTCTTCCTATTTCCAGCAGCTATGTTCCCGTTTTGGCTGTTCCAACGGGCGCTGAGATAATTGGTAATAACTCGAACTCTTCATTTTACCATGTCTAACTTTCGCTAATTTTTAGAATTTTCATTTTAGGGTTTTGAAGGTGCTTTAATCCTTCAATCACCATCTGATAGGGCATACCTTTTCAAACCAATGCAAATTTTTGCATCTTTTTGGCGTCCGAACGAGTGGGTAATGGTCAGAATTAGCAAATCCAAACAAGCTGCACTGACTCTAAACATGTTTTCCGTATCTGCTGAACTCCTTTGTAGGCGATATTATGAGCAGTTTTATGTGAGAAAATCGCACCAATTCCTTTAGCTCACCTTCAATCATGAGCTATACGGGGTAGCTGCATGTTTTGCCCCAGCATTGAGCCGAACATGGTTCATAGAGCAATTGCACTTTGTACGCACAATTTCTTAGCGAAATAATGGCCTTCACTTCCATCTGCGAGCTGGAAGGGCTCTCACCACTGATTGCTGACTTGTTTTAATTGAGCATTCAGTGCTCATAACTCCTCATCCAGAGGCCTCTGCAGAAAAAGAAGACGAATTTGAAATTGTCGTCTGATGCCCATTATATGCTTGCGTCGCAGTTAGAGGAGCCACTTCAACTAAGGATTGTCCAGAGAGAGGTGAACTGTAATAAGGTCAGTGGAAAAAGATAGTGACAATGAGCGCTATTCCATAAGCGTAGGAGCATTTACTCTCAAGTGAGTAAATTTGAAAAGAAACATGCCTTTATTGTAAACTCTGTATCTTTAGATTCTAAGTTCATCCCAAGAATCGTCACCCTACTTGGAAACTGAATCGAGTTTGCGTTTGAAGGCGCACCTGATATGAAGTCTTCCATGACGTCTGCAATGCGAAATCCTTCACTGGAAAGCATGATTTGTGAGCACAAGATCACATTTTATACAGTGGTGGACGCTACCCACTCTGAAAATCACGGCAATTTGCTTCTTCTTGATGAACCTGTCTAAGTTTCGCTATGTTGTGCGCATGCTAACCTACCACCATTGTTCATGACGGCTTTCAGTGCTAATGATTTCGAACGAACAGAAATGGAGAATTATAAAAAGTCCACTTAGCTGGACTCTGCTAGTCATTTCTTTTTTCAATCATTACATTCTTTGACTTTCAAATTTTTGTACCGTGGAATTGCAAATTCAACACATCTGCGACACCCATGCGATGCTATCTTAATCCGGAGAAATGAAGCTTGAAGCTTTCTTTGAACTACTGATGAGGAGCACCAAGGAAGCTGCACTACCGGTATAGTTTTTAGCCCCGAAAA